AAATATGATTAAATGGATTGATTCGTTGCTTTTAACCTGCCTGCTGATTACCCTCCCTGCCCAGAGTGTTAAGTAGCAGACATGGTCTTAGCCCCTTTGGGCTTCTATAGGAAACCACACACACTGGGTGACTAACAAACAACAGAAATTTATTACTTATAGTTCTGGAGGCTGGAAGTCCACGATCAAGGCCAGCATGGTCACATTCTACATGAGGACCCTTTTCATAACTGGCATCTTCTCATTGTGTCTTCACATGGTGGAAGGAGCCAGGGAACTCTCTGCGATCCTTTTTATAAGGGTACTAATCCCATCCATGAGGGCTCCACCCTTATGACCTCATCACTCCCCAAAGACCTCACCTCCTAATACCATGACCTTTAGAGAGGTTAGAACGTCAACATATAAATTTGAGGGGACACATTCATTCAGTACCCAGCTGACACTTAGGGGTCTTATCATGGGGAGCTGCTCCTTTTTTATTTCTTTCATTTTTCAGTCTTTCTCACAAAACAGTAAAAGCAAAGTACATCATTTTCAATTAACTACATGAGGCCTGCTTACCGAAAACGGTGTGTGTTCTGGCAGGTTGGCCTGGACTGCTTTGTGGAAGGCTGATCAAGCTGCTGACAGGTTAGGCATGTAAGTGATGTTCTAGAAAAGTCATGTTAAGAAAGGAAAATGGCCTAGAATCTCCCCATCATACCCTCCCCTGGCCCAGTTCTCTAAGACAAGGGTTCCCATTCTCACAAGAATCACCAGGGGTGCAGGTCAACATATAAATTCTGGGCCCAGCATAGAAGAGCTGAAGCTGAATATTCCAAGTGGGCTTCAGGCATCTGTATCTTAACAAGGTCCTTAGGCAAGCGGACCCTTGTCACCCTCGGCTGCATTCAGTGCCCAGGATTCTGCCCAGACCACTTCAGTCAGGCTGTCTGCGGACAGTGGCCGGGCATCAGTGTTTAACAAAGCTTCTGGATGGTTCTAACATGCGGCAAAGTTTGGGAGCCACAGTAGGAAGTGACTGTGTGAGGCACTGCCCTGGGGTCTCTGAGGATGGAGGTGGGCAGTGGGCTCAGCCCGGGAGCTGAGGGGCTGAGCGGGCAGAACCAGGCAGGAGCCTGAGCCCTGGGTGCCCATCCCGGGAAGCATCAGGGCACAGCCCCACCCTCCTGGCTTTCCTGTAAACACAGTGGTGTCCGCGGGGAGTCCACATGCAGAAGCACATTGTAAAAGAGACTCTTATGTGAACAGCTGCAATTTGGAAGTACCCAAGGCTGTTCTTGATTCTCTTTGGCTTTCTCCAGATGATAGATATTCTCCTTGCTTTCTGATTGCTTTCCTTCCCTGTTTTCACCCTTAGCTTCTGCTGTTATAAAAAACAATGTAGGCCCAGTGAGTTTGCAATAGTCCCTGTACCATGACCAAGGGCAGGCGGACATGCAGTGCCATCTTGGGTATTCAAGGTGGCTGATATGTGTGTGTGTGTGTGTGTGTGTGTGTGTGCAGTCACTTTCCCTGGGGTGTGGGTGCTGGACAAGGCAGTCAGGATTCAAAGGGTCATGCACCAAAATGAGGAGTCCTCAGGCCCTGGGGTCTAAAGGTCTTCCCACCCCACAGCTCTCATCAAGGACCTTCTAGGGATGGCAGATTTCTACCACTAGATGGCGCCAACAGCAAGGGCTTGGCTCAGCAGACCCGGGGCCCCTCCCTCCACTGCCCCACGGTGCCATCACCTGCTTCCCGCATCCAAGGCGGGGGCCTTCTCTGCAGCTCCCCTTGAGGAGCTGGAAAGGAGACTTCCTTCTGGGGAGCTTTATCCTGGTATGGAGACAGCAGGATGGATAGTAACCACGTGGAGGTGGTTACTATCCAGATTCCAGACCATCCCAGCTCAGTTCAAAGTGTCCAGACCCCCAAGTTTTGGGCTGGGCTGTGTGGGTGCGAGGCAGGGCACACAAGCAAGGGAGCGCAAGGGCAAAGTCGTGCTTTCGAGCGTCTGCCCTTTGCCAGGCCTGCATACACAGTGCTTCTGCATACACAATGCCTCCACCTTCCCAACAGTTCCCGAGGAGGCATTACTGTGGCCATTTCACAGATGGGGATGTTGAGGCTCAGAAAGTTTGTCCAAGGACACAGAGAACCCACTTCTGACTGTCTCGGGTCCCATGCTGTTTTCTTGACCCTCAAACTTAGAGCAGAGAAAAAAGCTTCCAAGATAGTAGACCCTGAAAAATCAAGAGACACCAAAGCGCCTTAGAGTCAACAATTCCCCATCCATCCATTCCACCAGGCGACACTTACACAGCCCTGCTGTGGGCCGTGAGCCGTGTTTCAGGCCCACAGAGAGAAGTAAGGCACAGACTCTGCCCTTTACAAGTTAACATTTTAGTGGGGGAGGCAGCACCTCTAATACAACCTGGGAAAGGAATGGAAGGCTTCCTGGAGGAGAGGGTTTTTTAAACTTCCTCTGCCAAGAGTAGGTCTTGAGGGTCTAGAAACTGTCAGAGGTGGTCTGGGGGACTCATAAAGCTCCAGGCCTCCACTGTCACAGACTGACACGGAAAAGTCTCTCTGCATAGAGTCAGAAAGATGAGGGTGTGTGTGTGGTGTGTGTGTGGTGTGTGTGTGTGTGTGTGTGTGTGTGTGTGTGTGTGTGTGTGTGTGTGTGTGTGTGTGTGTGTATGTGTGAGTGTGTGGTTTCATTGATTTGGGGGTTTGGGGTTTTGTGTGTCATGTTGTATTTTTCGAGGAAAAGCAAACAAGGGAAGGTAACCTAAATGCTTTCCAGATGAACACAGACCAGCCCTGCCAACCTCCAGAGCAATCTGCTCCCCACCAGCAAACATGCCTGAAACCAAGCCTAGAGGTGACAAAAGCCTCAAATCAAGGTTTGCATTTTTGACTTTCAAAGGTCCTTAATGTGTCAAATCAATATTTATTGCACTTGTTATGTGCCGAGCACAGAACCAAGAGCCCAACTAATCCAACACTTCAACCTGGACCATCTCTCCTGGTCTCTGGTTCTCACAGCCAAGCATTCAAGGATGCACACCACTCACCTCGACACAGAGCTTCCTGCCCTGGTAGTCAGAGAGCTCCCGGGGCTGCCCTGGTGTCCAGAACTCACACACGGCCTCACATTGTGATAAATCACCTCGAATAACTGTCTCTCCTATAAGCTGTGGCGCCACAAGCACAGGACATTTTTAACTTCATCTTCAAATGCCTAAAACTTAAGAGAGACGGTGAGCTAGCTCCGCAAATGTTTGTGGAGTGACTGAAAGAGCCCAGAGGGGGCAGAGGTCCCAGAAATGAGAGCTTGGAGAGTCATTTGTGCCTAGGCCCTGACATGGGCCATGTCATCCTGGATGTGTCCCTCTGCCTTTTGGATCTCGCTTTCCTCCTCAGGAAAAGAAGGAATCTGTCGGAATATCTCAGCATCTATTGTTCAAAGAATGAAGCGCAGATCTGTAGGTCCACAGAGCAGGCTCTGGCTCAAGATGGAGGAGCTGGCCCGTGGGGCACCCCGCACAAGCCCTGGCTCCACCTCCACTAACCTCAGAATTCAGGAGCCCCAGACAGGAGGCTCCCCGGCAGGGACCACCGCCTGGGGGTGGGAAAATGCAGCCTCCACTCTCCATCCTCAGGCAATTCCCTTCCTCCCTGGGCCTAGGTTTCCTCCAGTATAAAGAGTGAGGGGCCAGGAGGGCCGTTCAGGAAGGCAGCCGGAGGGGCCGGGCGGGGGACTGGATCCCTGAGATACAGGCAGTTGGAAGCTCCTAATACTGGCTGGCATCCCAGAGCAGCCTCCCGTTCTATCTGCCTGATCTTCAGCGCAGGGGGGGCTCTTTGGGACTTATGTCTCCTTCCCCGCTGGCCTGTTGTCCTGTCCATCATATTTGCCAGCATAAAGATGAATATATGGGCTAGGGGATGGGAATGGGCTTCTGGGGAGGAGTACAGGTGAGGGAAGTGGAGTGCTGGTCCGTTACCCTTAGTGCAAAATAAGACCCCTCGCTGCATGGTTTGCACCAGCAACGAGAGCATGACTCCCTTCCCTACGGAGGCAGAGAAGCCACAGCTGCAGGAGCCACGAGGCTGGACACCGCTGCCACCCACTGAAGCCCTTTCCTGGGGCTCAGAGGGGAAAGAAGGAGAAAAAAATTAATAAAAATAGCTGCCTGAAACCCGATGTTAAATATGCATATCACTTATATGTGGAACCTGAAAAAAAAAAAAGATACAAATGAACTTATTTACAAAACAGAAGTAGGCCTACAGACATAGAAAACAAATGTATGGCTATCAAAGGGAAAGGGATAAATTAGGAGTTTAGGATTAACAGATACACACTACTATATCTAAAATAGGTAACTAACAAGGACCTACTGTATAGCACAGGGAACTATACTCAATATCTCGTAATAACCTACAAGGGGATATAATCTGAAAAAGAATTTACATATATGTGCGTGTGTCTATGTATGTATGTATAAGTGAATCACTGTGCTGTACACCTGAAACCTCAGTGGAGAGGGTAGATCTTTAGGACGCAGAGAAAAGAGCAACCGGTTGAAAAGAGCGATGGGGTGTGGGCCGTGCCGTACAGCGTGACTCATCAGAAGGCATTTTCTCAAAGCTGTAGCTCCCTCATCTCTAATCGAGGCCAACTCAAGGACCTCCCAGGTTTCGGGATGATCAGAAGGGAAGGAAACACCCATGGGGCTCAGAGATCTGACCTAGAGTCTGCCCCCTGCCCCCCCACCCCCCGGCCTACCAGCTGGGGAATTTGGGCAACTGGCTTAAGTCTCTGAACTCCGGCTCCTCCTATGGTTGCACTGAGGAGAAAGGAGACGTCTGGCTAGTAAAAGCATGGTGGAGAAACATAATTTCGCGTAAACCTTTTGAACACCATGAAGATGGGAAGGTGACTGCAGACCTTTGGCCTCTGAACCCCTTACCTGGCAGCTCCCTTTATGTCTGCCCTTCCCCTGCAGGCCCTCTCTCCAGCTCCCACGGCCACGGTCTTCACCCCGGCTCCCCTGGAGGACACCTCTGCACACCCCCAGTTCTGCAAGTGGCCGTGCGAGTGCCCGCCATCCCCGCCCCGCTGCCCGCTGGGGGTCAGCCTCATCACAGACGGCTGCGAATGCTGTAAGATGTGTGCTCAGCAGCTTGGGGACAACTGCACGGAGGCTGCTGTCTGTGACCCCCACCGGGGCCTCTACTGTGACTACAGTGGGGACAGCCCGAGGTACGCAGTAGGAGTATGTGCACGTAAGTGACACCCCACACACACCATCCGGCCAGCCCCCAGCACCCCCAGCTCTGGCCCAGGGCCCCCTACCCATTGCCCTTCCTCTGGCCTGGCTCCAGTTCTGCAGGAAATACCCCCCACCCCCTATCCCAGGCCATGATTAGAGGCCAGAGGCTGGGCTTTTCCTGAGGAGGGAGGGATGCTGCATTCCTCTGGCATCCAGAACCTGGCTGTCTTCTCTGTTCTCCATCCATGGATGAGTCCAGGGAAGAGGGAACCGCCAGTCAAGACCTAAGCCTGGTTCTGATTTCTTAGTGGTAGAACTCTTTGCTGGATGCCCATGACCTCCCAGGGGCACCAGGACCCTGCAGAGCTCCAGATATTTCAGTAATATTGTAAATTAAAATAACATGGTTTTAAAACATTTAGTAGCCTTGAAAGAATAAAACCCAGCAGCCTGAAACCACCCCTTCCTACCACCCACCCATGTTTCTCCGGTTACTACAGTCACTTTTAAGTTTCAGCCCTTTCTTCTGGTAGTTGCAAATACTCAATACATGTCTTCTGTTATATATTGATTGGCTTTAAATATCAATTGTGGATAATCTATGAATGATCCCTATATGATAGCTAATGTCTGAGTTCCTTAATACCACCTGACATCTCCCCCATCTTCCAATATCATTGTCATATTTTTGGTTATAAACCACTATTTACAATATAAGGATTATGTAAATGTTTTTCACTGTGACATGAGTTAGTGCACTTGTTTGAATTTCCTTTATTATGAAGTCTTTTGTTTTTCCTGGGGTTTCTATTTGTCTTTGCTTTTTCTTTACTCTTTGTCCTTATAATAGCCCCATGCCAGGGGAGAGGCTGTTTGTTGTTTGTTTGCTCTTCACAGGGTTCTACCATTTCCTTTGTTGTTCTCAGAGACCTCCTTTCTGGGACTTTCTGGTCTCCTGCTTCTATCTGGACTGTTATTCACTTAGCTTGAATCATGTAAGCATTTATTCAAGATACCTGATCCAGCATGATGAAAAGACGTCACTAGGCATCATGACGCAGCAGCCTAACTTCTGAAAAGTTACACAAAGCCTCATAAACCCAAGAACTCCCTTCTTCCCTTAATGCTGAATCAAGCTTTCCCCATAACTATGATTCTAATACACACCACTGCATATTCACACACAGCAGACTCTCTCATCCTCAGTTAACCCATTATATTTCCTGAAGTGGGCTGTTGATGAGGGTTTTGCACAAAATTCCAAGTCAAAACAATCATGGTTAACTTATGAGCACTTTCTGCTCTTTTGACCTCAGTTCACGCCTCAACTTTCATACCAAGTCATCTGTCTTTAGCGGTCCAAGTAACTACCATTGATTCTGCCATCTTTCCATTTCTCCCCCCTTTTACTGAGACTCATCATTAGCCCCACAAAACTCTGTTCAGTGAAAACTTGCAGATTCCATCCACATAGAATCATCTGACGTGTTGGTTAAAAATGTTATTCCTGAGCGCCACCCCAGACTTACTCATTCCAATTCTCTGGAAGTGGAGATGGGAATCTACAACTTTAACAAGCTCCTTGGACGATTGTCATACTCAGGTTTGAGACTGACTGCTGATGTATATAGTCACTCATATACTCTCTCCCCGTACCCAGGTAAGGAAACCAGGCTGAGCCTTCCTGCAGTAGAATCCCCTCCATGTCTATGAGACTGTCTCATCATTTCTTTCCCCTTTTACAGCTGTTCTTTAAGGTCATTAAAAAGAAATTCATTGTGACTATACGATTCCCTAAAGTTGCAATGACATCTCACCAAGTGCCAGGCACCACAACTTTAGAGACATTCTCTCATGGACCCATAGACCGTACAGACCCTGGGACTGCCTATCCTGCCTGCCTTTACCCCCAGGGGCCTGGAAAGCCAGCTGCCCAATCCAGCACCAGCCCTCTCTCTTTAAATGTCAGCTCCTTCCTTCACCTGGCTCCCTCTCGTCATGAGTCTCTATTTCCATTCCTTATATTTGAAAAGAAGACTGTGGTTTTCAGGAGACTGTAACGAGTACTACACTTGCCAAGGGTTCTCTGGTCATATAGGTCTACAGACATTGGAATAAATAAGGTTCAATAAGTGAAACAGAACTTTTCAGAGGTTTTAAACGTCCACGTCCATTGTCAAATTCCAAAAAGAGAGCTGTCATGAGAGGACTTTTCCTTTTGAACTTATTTGCACAGTGAACACGTTTTTCCAGGCAGATTTTTACCCAATCACCCACCTACCCCATCACACACACTCACTCAGATACACACGCGGCATGCATACATGTGCGCGTGCACACACACACACACACACACACAATTCACCAGTGTGCTACTGAACATCTTCCCGGAAATGCTGCCATAGTGTCTGAATTCGTGAGACCCTAATGCGAGAAAGAAGAGAGTCCAGGGTCTGAGACGCTAGAGAGGAAGAGGCTTTGGGGCCAGAGGGGAAAGAGAAAGAAGTGTTCCTTTACACACACAATCTGTCAGCAAATGGCCAACAACCAATGGACGATCCCCAGGCCAGGCTAAATCTGTCCTTAGAGATATGCGTGTAATTAAGCCAGGACAAGGAAATAAAAATGAGCAGTTGCAACACTGGCACAAATAACTCAGAGAGGATCACAGGGGTTATGGCAAACTAGTGAATGCAAGCTTTGGCCACTGAGGCCAGGCAGAAAAGTGAGCTTGGTCTGATCCAGTCTGCTCAGTTTTCAAGTGAATCCAGAAAGAAATCCAGATTTGTGTATAATTTGTAAATGTTGGCAACACATTGAAAACTTTTAAAAAAAAACACTCCATGGGCCAAACTAAATACATCTGTGGGCAGAGAGTGACCTCTGAGTTAAACTGTTTGGCTATTTTGGCGGACAAACATGACTGCATTCAATGCACTGGGTCAGGATTTAGGGCAGTGTGGTTTGCTGGAAGGATCACGAAATTTACAGGCAGACAGACTTGGGTTTTGCCTCCTGGCTCTGCCACTTACTGGCTACGTGACCTTGGACACGCCACTTAAGGAGGTTGATCACACCAGCTTCACGTGGTGGTTGAGGCTGAAGCCTAAGATGTGGTCGACTGTCTCATGTGCTTCAATTTTCCTTTGTAGGAGTTCCCTCAGCCTTGTCCACGGTCATCCTCAGAGTTTGGGGCAGGGCTGGTTCCAAGCTCAGACTCTCCCATCTGAAGAGTGAGGGAGTAGAAAACCCATGCATGGGGTTTGGAGCTAGACAACCTAAGCTCGAACCCCAGGGCCGTAACTAACTAGTACAATGGTTTTAGGAAAGCTGCTTAACCTTTTTAAGTGTCAGTTTCCTCATCAAGGAAAAATGCAATGAATGAATAATGCCTACCCCTCTGGGTGGTTAGGATGTGGAGTGCCTGATACACAGTAGAAGCCCAATACAGAGTAGGTGTCACCCCATCTGACATCCATCCATCCGTCCACTGATGCATTCACACGGTGAACACAGGTTAGTGATAATACAGCAATGGGGTTACAACGCATGGCCCACTGTCCCTGCTCTCAGGCAGGTGACAGTCCACCAGGGGTGGGGTAAGGGGAGTAGAGGTACAGATGGCACAGCAAGGTGACTTGAGTTCCTTGAAGTCTTGTCAATAAAATGAAAGCCCACCAGTTCATGCCCGGACTTGCAAGAATGGATGTGGAAGGAAACTCAGCCAGCTTCCCCATCTAGCCAGGAGCTGGTCCTTCAATTAGTCAGAAAGAAATCGGATAAGGAAGGGCCTCCAGAGTCCACTGATGAGACAATCCACAACCATCACACATACCATCCATCGCTTGTCCCTACCCCCTAAACCTCCCAGGAGACTGTGAACAGCTTCTAAAGGTTCCCAATCCTGGCTGCAAACTGGATTCACCTGGAAGCTACCAAGGGCAAAACAATAAAAAATACTGAAACCCAGGTCCACCCTCATATACTGGAGCATGGTGTGGGCATCAACATTTTAAAGAGCTCCCCCGGTGGTGCCATCGTGCAGCTGGTGTTGAGAACCACTGTGCTAAGGGCTCCCAGCACCCAGCGCTGCCCTCTCCACCAGAAGTTCCCACACACAGGGGCAGAGACGGGCTTCAGCACTCCTTTCTCCCCCTCCACCAATACACACGTGCACACGCACACGCTCCCTGGAGCAAAAGGGCGCCGCCAGGGGTGACTCAGACGCAAAGATCAGTGATTCACCCAGTGTTTCCTCTGCTTTGTTTTGTTTTCCTATTTCCCCTCCTTTACTGGTGTCTGGTGGAAGGAAATGGATGATGGAGTCAGAGCCCCCAGGCTTTGGGAGCAGCTCCATCAGTCACCTGTTGGGTGACCTCGAGCCCTAACCCCACACCCCCAGTTCCCGTCTCTGCCAAAAGAAGAAAACAAAGCTCTCCTAGGGCAGTCACTGCGAGGACTGCGTGAGATACCAGATGGTGCCTAGCTCCAGATCAGAGGGGCAGTAAGTGTTTAGTGCCTTTCCTTTCTGTAACTTCTCCGGCACAATCACCTCCCAAGGAAACCAGCAGTCACCCCAATATTCCCACAGGCTGCCCTCACTGCTCTGCTGAGCCGAGCTCTGTGACCTTAGGTGCGTGATTCAACATCACTGAGACTCAGGTTTGCTGTAGGTGAAAATGAAGGTGATGACGTGGTATGGTTTCCTTATGGGATGAAATCAGCAATGCAAGGAAGCCTAACACAAAGCAGGTCAGGCAACCAAGAGCCCTCACCCCTGTTAGATACAGGGATGATGATGACGATGATGATGGGGATGATGATGACGATGATGATGATGATGATGATGATGACGATGATGGTGATGATGATGTTGATGATGGTGGTGGTGATGATGATGATGATGACGATGATGATGATGATGATGATGATAATGGTGACGATGATGATGATGGTGATGGTGATGACGATGATGTTGATGATAATGGTGACGATGATGATGATGGTGATGAT